CCCCCCCCCCCCCCCCCCCTTCTCTTGTCCCCTGGGATTTCAGAATTATGTTTTGACTGTTTAAACTTGCTGTTATTATTTTTTCTTTCTGAGATTGTTAGGCTGGCGCCCACAATCTATGGAAATGTTCAATGTGGCCCTTCGTAATCCTATACAAAATCTTTCACCCTCTTCATTCTGGCTTCGCCCTTGGGTGGCAGCTAACTACTCTCATTTTTGGGCTTTTTTCCTGCTGTGGCAAGATTGGGAGTTACAGTAAAAGACTAATTTCTAGCATAACAAAGGCAAATCCCAAAAGAAAACCCAATCACCATTTAGTTTAATAAGTTTGGAAACAAAGCATTTTTTTAAACATTCGAAGTGTCCACCCGAATTGAAAATTGTTTCTTGTTTTTAATTGAAGATGCAAAGGAGGTCCCCTGAACGAAATAACTCAACAAAGAAATTTGAATATACCTGAAGTGCAGTTATATCATCTTCCTGATTAACCAATGTTAACAGACCTGTTTTGCAAATAGAATTCAACAATTACGGTTGACGAACAAGATCATTTAGGACTTTCATCATCTAAGGACTAGAAACTTTACCATAGTCGGTGTGAGCACCACTGGATTTATTTGGGCAAAAGAGAGACAACATAGCAACATAGAATACAGTCACTATATGAGAACCATTGAAACGCTAAAAGGAAAAGAGCAAACTTCAAGGTCAGAATAACTGAATTACCATCCAATGTCATTCATGTCCCCACCATTTGCAGAGGATAAAACAGGATAACCAATTAAACGACACACCCAAAATGGATCTCCAGCTCGTTTGCCTTCCAATTCATCTGCTGATCCACCCAATGCTAGTGCAATTCCCCGCAATATTTTTCTTGACAGATCTATTTTTAGTCGGAAAGCAGTGCTTGTAAATTATTATACTAACTGATAATATGCAGAGATGTAGTGGAAGAACTGAAAAATAAACCCATTAATCTCACGAAGGAAACCACCTGTGCAAAGGCTCATATACTCCTCCATCATTTGTTTGAAATTAGGAGGATTCATTGGCCTGCACCAAAAAACAATGATGTTACACCAAATAGTTGGCATCATTGTGTATCTGAACTGAATATTAAAAAAACATTAAGAACTACAAGCTAAAAAATAATAGATCCGGTTCACCCGACACTATTAGCAAACTTGTTATTGTCAATGTAATTCACATCGGTCCACATTCCTGTGATAGACCAATGTAGAAATTATCAGAATTCGTGTAAAAATATGGATGTACAATTAGGCCGAACCTGCAAGTTTGTGCGCTGAAAAGAAAAGAGAGGTCGACCCCAATTAAAGAAATATGTAAAGAAGGCAGAAAGAAAAAATTTGTGGAAGGCCAGCCAAGGCAGATGCACAGCAGCAACCGTCAGCACTTTCAGCAGAGACAATTAGATCAAGTTTGAGAATTGTTGCTTGATTATGAATGATGCTACGCCAATCACAATTACAATGATACTGATTTGGGGATTCAAAACACATGGCTTCAGAAATTTGACAACTAGGAATATGAAAGATAGAATCAAGCTTTACTTGGTGATAATAGAATTTTGTGTTTGTGTGATTTTGCATGTGCGTGTGTTGGGGTTTTTTTTTTGTTTTTTTGTTTTGGGGGGGTGGGGATGTTTGGAATAGAGAGAGAGATTTGCATCTAAAATAAAGAACATTGACCTTTGATATTGCGTCTTAGGTAAAGAATATGGATGTGTGATACAATCTCAATATAAGTTGGCTAGAAATTTTAAATCGAAAGCCCTTACAATACCATTCATTAGATCCTTCCATAGGGTCGCCAAGACCTCCATACATGCCTCGCTTCAATTCTCTATAACACTGTTACCCAAAAAAATAATGATGCAGATGAGTTGATAATAACAAAAACTATTACTCATACTACTTCTGCAAAGATTATCCACGCTTTTTCAGTCACTCAACGTAGGGACGAATCATGTATCTTCATTTTCACCTCCATTGGAAGATAACATCGACATCTAGGGATGGTTGTATAACATTAATTTGAATGCAACCTGTGGGATTCATGTGGCATTGGTGCACTCACCAATTAGCAAACAATTCTATAGATTTCAATATTATACTGTGCATGTCACACTATCTAAAAGAAATTTCATTCGGGGCATGGGCATTGGATAAATTAAGTACTACGGTAAAGATTAACATGGTCCCACACTATGAAATTCTCAAATCAAGACATGATCCATATTTTTAACCTATTAGAAAGAATTCTATTCAAATTATTGATAAAGTACAAAATTCTAGTTTTGTGTAAGAGTACATAATTGTGTTTCTAACTAGAAGAAATATCATAACAAGAAGGCAGATGAAAAACTGGTAGATAACAAATCCGGCTCGTACTGATTCTACTTAGAAAGTGACCTCATGCTGATTCACGGAATAACATTGCCAATAGGCACAAGACCCATTCAGCTTAAGATAAAATCTAATATTAGGATCCAGAAATTCCAAAGTGTCTTAGTCCTCTAGCGATGGCAGCTGAAAGAACGTAGGATTTTTTTCTTTATCCCTGTTTCTGGTTCTATATGTAAGTATGATCCATGACCTGGAATTAATGAACAGGTTTTATGGTTCTTTTCCTCTTTATTTTCTGGAGTTTGTACTCAGGTGGGCATGCCCCTCTTTAATTCTATAGAAAATTTTAATCTCTCTATTTACCACCTAGTTTGTAAAACAAAACAAAAAAGTGAACTTACAAACTTACAGGAAATATTTTCAAGCAGCTGATAGAAACACTCGCAATGCTAAGACTTGTGGACAGTCTTCGTTTATTCTTAATATTGAGATTATTCTCTCTTTTCCTCCTAGAGAACTCAAGATTTCAGCGATTAAAGAGAAAATCTTCTCTCACGCTGTGTGTCTTTTACAGCCACGTCAAAAGGAAATTACACACCTATTCCCATGCATCCACTGGCTGGCAATATGTTGAACTTATAATAACTTTTAGCACAGCTATATAAGCATCTTCTAAACTAAAAAGGCAATGAAGAAGAACCTACATCGATAGCTTCATGCATATCAGGTACACCTTTCGTTATATTTTCACCAACATGCTGATACCCTCTGCATTTAAAACATTATGTCACAATTATTTGGATCCTACTAGCAAAACATATATAGATCTTGTTTAAATCATATAGATGTTAAATGTTGTTCCAGGCAACAAACCTGTATCCAGTTGCTGCAGACATTTTGATCTTGAGTTTTTCCTCATAAGGTAGATTGAAAAATCTGTGTGTCATATCTCTAACCTCTTTAATTAGGGAATCAGGTATTCCATGGCCCTTCTGGTAAAAACATAGTGCACCAGCAATTAACACATTACGCAGAGAAAGTAATGAACTAAATTAGCAAGCCATTGAGGTTTCCTTACATGGAAAGAATGACCACTGTGTTTGGACCAAAAAACTGACCAAATTACCTTTGATTTTAACATCTCAGGAACTTCATGTAAAGTGTACATATGATGAGCTTCTGAAACAGATCTATCTAACAGCTTATCACATAATTCTCATCAAAACCATTAACAATGCATCTAGTAGATTTCAAATATTTATTTCGGAGGCAAGGCACAAGATTCTGGATATGGCGAATGTTTGTATCACCGTAGGGAAACCATATGAAGAAGAAAAAAGGATCTTTGGACAAATTTTAATAAGGTTTATCCTTTTGGTCTTTTCCCTTCTTTTTTTTTCAAGAGTTCAAAGTGATTGACCCGTTTTGCTCCAAGTGGTAGCCAGGAAGACACATTCACACGCATCCATACACAGTTTGAGGTGTTTTAACGACTTCTCCAAGCTAACTATCTGAGATTATAAATTTGTTTCATTATTCCGTAATTGCTGCTTCTATAAATGGCATTAGAAAAAGCCTTTTAGCATATATGGAATACCACTGCTTTAACTGGTATGTTCAACATGCAAAACGAGTATGGGAGAACCAGACTGAAGGTGTACATGTAGCAATAGACTTCTAAAAAATAAAGCAGAAATTGAGCAATTATCATTATTGCATTATAAACAACAAATAAAACACATGGATAGGAAGAATACCACATAAAAGAAGCCAGCTTCTCTACAAGCCTGATCTAACTGTCTAACAACCTCGGCCACGCCTTCGTCTTTAGCCATATTTGGATCATCCCACTTGGCCAAAAGAGGACTGACATCTGCCTCATATTAAACGAATAACAATTATAAAATGGAAAACATATTTTGATGCGATTCAACTGTTAAAGTAAGAACATCAGATCAACTTCATTCTCAAGTCAACAAATTCAATTTTCCAACATTCTCCATTTGCATTTTGTTGTGTCAATCAATTTTTAGCATATCACATAATCAAAAATCACCGCCATAAACTCTTACAGAAAACAATGTGGGATTAAAAAGAAAGAATAGAACTTGGGTATTGAAGCAATGATCTTTTGGGAATCATAAAAGGAGACAGAAGGCAAAAAAAATATGAAAAACAGAATAACACAGATAAGCACCAACCTAACTAGTGTTTCAATACTAACTTGGTGGATTGAACTACGATTTTCTTTTCTTTTGGGGGAGAAAAAACAACTTTACAAAATAAATTATAAGATTTCAGTCTCAATTTTCTGAACAAACAGATGGAAAATTACTTCCCACGGAATTTCGCAGTCAATAACAACCAACAATTGTGCTGCCAAACATTTTCTGTCTTTATTAAAACGATTTCATATAAAGAGAGAGAGAAAATTCAATCAAGCTTCTGGATTTGATCGATGGTGGTGTTACCTATTAGAGGGATGGACTTGAAATCCGTGGCCATATCAATGAAGCTATGTGCTCTCTCCCTCTCTCTCTCTCCGAAACTTTAAATCTGCTAGGATCTTTAACAACGATGTAAAACAACAGAAAGGCATTGGCAATTTATTATTATCATAATCATGGTTACTAAACTTTGTCATCGGCTTTAATTTAGTCTATGAATTTTTAATTATTTTTATTTTAATATTTTAATATTTTAATTATTAATTTTATTTATTCTTTTTAAACGTTAAATCATATATACGTCTAATTACCTAATGATGATATTTATCCAACTTTTAGTTGAACTCCTTCGACCTCCTTACTTCCAAGAAAATATTCAGGAGTTGTTTGGTTCCAGAATTAAATGATGAATTACAAAATTATAATAAATTTAAATTTTATAATTCAATTTTATATTGTATTTGTTTACAAAAAACACTTCATATTATATATAGTCTTATTTCAAATATTTATTTAAATAATATATTTTATCTGTATTATTGAATCGATTATAATATCACCTCTCCATGCAATATTATAGTCTAGTTTAAACGTGTTGAATTATAAATTTAATATTTTATAAATAAAAATATTAATATTTAGATCAAATTGATGATTTTTTATCAATATATAATTAGTATTTTATTATCTCAGTCTTAATCTAGTGTCTTATTGTACACTAAATTACAATGCTTAGTATTTTTGTCTTGTATTTACTCTAATAATTTTTTCTGCATATATAGAATTAAGGAAAAATTTCATCCACACCTCCTCTAGTTAGACATAAAAACAGAGACACCCCCTGCCCATTCTAAATCTTTATTGTCACCCCCTGTCAGGCATTGTCTTGTAACGACGTTAATGGCTAGGGTTAATTTACAAAAATAACCCTCAGTATTTTATATGTACTATGTATGTATACGTATTTAACCTATACGACTAACTATGGTTATGCTTAGTTAACCTCACCTATTTATTAAACCTAACCCAGCCCAAGTGTCTCTGTGCATTCCATGGTTACTAGTTTGATGCACGAATAGAGAGCGAAAGCGAGAGAGGGGGGAAGTAAATTGCCGAAGGCTTGGGAAATCTTTACGATTCCAAACATCGAATGATTTGAACAGTTACTATCAAAGATTATGTGGTATGTATCAAAAAAATCTGTGTGTTTTTACGTATTTTTTTATCTAGGGTTTTGTTCATCTTTTATGGATTTGGGGGGTTTTTTTGATCTTGATCGTTTGAACATAGTCCAGGGTTAGTGATAAAGAACATAGTTGGGTTTGGACAGACCTAACAAGGGTTTATATTTTACGGATTTGGGGGTTTTGTTCAACTTTTATGGATTTGGGGGGTTTTGTTTATCTTGATCGTCTGAACATTGTTCAGGGTTAGTGACAGAGAACATATTTGGGTTTGGACAGACCTAGTAAGGGTTTATATTTTACGAATTTGGGGGTTTTGTTCATCTTTTATAGATTTGGGGGGTTTTGTTCATCTTGATCATCTGAAACATAGTTTAAGGTTAGTGACAGAGAACATAATTCATCTTTTTTTTTTTTTTTTACGTTTTTTTGTATCTAGGGTTTATATTTATTTATGGATTTGGGTATTTTGTTCATCGTTTATCCTCATAGTTCATGGTTTTCTAATGCATTATCCATAGATATTTGGGCTTATAACAATGTTGAAATTAGGGCTTCAATTGTTTACGTTTTCTAAAAATCCTTCTTGTTTCAAACATGCTACATAGATGATTTTTCTTTATTTCCTGAATGTGCTATTGTGTTTGAAATTATTGTAGAAATGGTTGCTAAGTTGATTGACTTGTTCATACACTTTGATGGGCAACAATACATGGCACAGAACATTGACCCAGATAAATATTGTCATGTGCACCTATTATCAGATATATTTATGTTGTGTTCATCAACATTGACCTTAGTGTTCAAATTATATTGTGAATTGCCTGGTTCAAATGACATAATGTTGAATATTGAGCAATACTGTGATGATTTTTTCAAGAAAGACGCATTCTTAAAAGCTCATGACCTAATGATACACCCATTTCGAGACCAAAGAAAATGGCCACATGCAGTTGGTGATATGCTATGTCCTCCCCCTCTGAGAAGACTCCCAGGCAGACCCAAAAAAAACAGGATGAGGGAGGCAGATGAACCAACATCACAAACTAGCTTTGCTAAGAAGTCTTTAAGTGTGAAATGTAAAATTTGCAAAGAATTTGGTCATAACAAGAGAACATGTCAAAGAGCTCCTGTGAGGGAAGAACAGACAGCTCCTATCAATGCACAACAGTCAGCTCCTGTGATGGCAGAACAGACAGCTTCTCAAGCAGAATCTGGAATTGGACTAACAAATGAACAGGTAGCAATTCGTTAATTTTTTAGTTACTAAGTTTACAAAATACACAAGCTGCTAATTCACTTTTTGATACTTATTAGGTATTTGCAAGTGAAGGGACTGGTGTAGGCAGAGGAAAAGGAAGGAAAATTGAGGGCAAGGGAAGAGGAACACCAGCACAACCTACCTTACAACCACAAAACCAGAACATTGAAGGGACAATAACACAGCCTAGCTTGCCACAAGAAAACTAGAACATTGAACAGGTAGTGGACACAAGAAGAGGACGAGGCAAAGGAAGGAAAGACAGGGGCAAGAGCAAGGGCAAGGGGGAGACACAAACTGTTGGGATAGAATAGGAAGAGGACAAGGCAGTAAAAGGACTTTTTTGATTGTTTTTTGTTCCTGGTGTGAATACTTGAAAATAGTTGGTTTAACACAGGAATATAGTAGGACTTTTGTGTAGAACAGATGGTTTAAATTGTAAATTTTTGTGCAGAATACCTGCAAATGTCACAACATAATAGTTTGTGATTGCACATGGATGCTAATATTGTAACTACTGTGAATGTATGGAAATGGAGGCAAATTTGGACATTCATGGACTACCAGAACTGCAATGCTTAATAGTAATATTACATCAAACTCACATAGAACAACCAGTCATATTACATATAACAACCAGTCATATTACATAGAACAACTAGTTTTGATACATACAACAAAAGCATGATATTTGAACAACCACCCATAATACATAGGTCTGCAACCAGTCAGATTTGCACAACAAAAAACATAAGTCTACAACTACTTCATTCCAACCAAAAGCCGACAGTCAAATTTGCACAACAAAAAACATAAGTCTGCAACTACTTCATTCCAGCCAAAAGCTGTAACACTAAAATCATAATTACAACTGCCATCATCTTCTTCATGCATTTTAGGGTGTACTCTATTGACTTCACTCTTGCAGCCAACTTGTTTAATTCAACATCTGTCTCTGTATTTCGATGTCCCATTCCATACCCTTCAGGTTGGGCGATCAGTGGCACAATAGATATCGGATGACACCATACAAAAAATTTGCAGGACCCTCTTTCACAATTGTAATGTAATCTTCTTTTACTAGGCTTATCAAATTCCACTATCTTAACCACATCATTTTTCTCACAAAAACATGGTTTATAACTATATTTTAGGTCAAACTCCTCCTCTCCTATGTCTCTACCTCCACCAACAATTAAAGAAGACATGAATCCTACAATAATACGTCACAATATATTGACATTTAAACATCTAAAAATAAAAAAGGCATGAAAATTTTTTTAAAAAAAATTGCTTGAAAAAAAATTGATTGAACAAAATAAAGAAATTTAAAATTATTTGCATGAAAAAAATATTGAGTGAAAAAAATGATTGAACAAATATTAAAAAATCATTACATGAAAAAATTAAAATATCTGCATTTAAAAATTAAAAAAATAACTAAAAAAAAAATTTGCATAAAAAATATTTACAAATCTGTAAAACAAAAAATATTTACCAACTTTTGTAGTGAACGAACGATCATTGAGCAGTATGGCGAGCAACACAACCAAATTCACGTTCACTTCGGTTCCAGAGATAACATTGTTCCAACCAAGGGTTAAGGTGTACTATGCATATATATAGGGAATGGGGTTGAGGTCAAATTAGTATTTTTATATAAAAAGGGATGGTTTGGATATTTAAAAAAAATTGAAGATAAACCGTTCCTTTATTCACTGTCATTGTTAAACTTTACGGTGTAAGGGGTGACTTTGATTTATAGGTGTAAACCAGAAGGGAGTGCAGTGAAGATTCAGAATGAGTAGGGGGTGTCTCTGTATTTATGCTTAACTAGAGGGGGTGTGGATGAGTTTTTTCCTAGAATTAATATGTATTACTTAATACAATCTACATTTCTTTTACAAAATGGTAACCAAATGAGTCTTCGATACAACGTGGGTCACGTGACACCACATGTGTGATGTCATTGTCCAATAAAAAAATTCAAATAGCCAAAGTCTATCTCACTTATATATACAAGATAATTATTGTATTAAATAGATGAATGGTTATTTAATTAGGTGAAATTCACTTAATTATAATGTTTTATTAGAGTATCTTCAATTATGACTCAAATTTAAACTTAAGTTTGATTCTAAATTTGAGAAAAAGTTTGATTTGGTATAGAACACTCCAATATCCAAACTTAAATATCTATGCATATCTTTTAAAAAAATTCTTTTATTGTCCCAAGCTCATTTTTTTAATTTTCTCTACCAAAATATTTTATCCTCTCTCATTTCTTATCTTCATTCCCTCCTTAATATTAAAAAAGAAAAGAAAAGGCTCCCTAATATTAAAATATATTTCTTACAAACTTCATCAATATTAAAAAAAAGAAAAATCAATAATAGAAACCTCTTTAAGTGATAGATTCATGAGTTTTTTACCATCTAAAATAAGAGAATTTTTTAAAATATTTACTCAATATCAACTAAACAGTATTTCTTGTCTTCAATTCCGTACTATAATGAGAGACAAGATAGATTTTTTGAGAATGAGAATTTATGAGAGAGAAAGTATATATATATTAAAAAATTACCTTATATTACCCTTGAATAATAGAGGTAAAGAGAGGAGGTATAGTCGGTAGTGGTTGTAGTGGCTTTGAAGATAGAAGCAAGA